CTGGGACTTCCATCCATACAATCAATTATCAAAGAGCACAGCAGGCGAACCAGTCAGGGTTCAGAGGCTACAGAGAAGGAAGATGTGAAAACAGAAGACAGTGAAGATGAAGTGGATGTCTCTGTTTATGAGAGAGAGGTGGGTTGTGATTTATTTTACAGCTTTCATTGATAGAAAAGCAAGAATATGACTAAACATTAACAGGAAGGTGGGTCCTGGAACTCAGTGCGAAAGATGACAGAGAACATCAAAGATATGATCCTAGAACACTCTAAATTGAGAATCTATGGAAGATATTCCATCCACAGTTGCTTAAAATCTGAAGATGTGCTTAAAAGCACTTGTCCATTTGTGGAACAAGGACAGTAAGAGCTCAGGTGCAGATCTGTAATCTCTCCTCTATAAGGGAAGTCTTGATCAGAGAATTAGTAAAACAGTTGGCTAAACTGAGGAAAGATAATGAGACCTTCTGGATACTCAAAGTGGGCAGCTGGAATAGCTGAAAGAGAGTGGGGTGGAAGAAATACAGAGATTTGAGTTGTAATGTATCAGTGTAGCAAACACATGTGCAGCCTTGGACAGTACAGTATAGCAAGCTGCTTATGGAGATAGCTTCAGTTGGAGTGGTGTTTAAACCATCTCATGGGGAAGGAATTGGGAACAAACCTACCAACTTTGTTTTTCCAAGTGACTAAAACCTCCTAAACCTAGATTACCCCAGCCTTACAGATACAGGATTAGCTAGTTTATTTTATCTAGGTCTTAATTCTGCCGTGCAGTGTGGGCAAGGGAGTTTGTGTTTTCCAGGACTTGTTGCGTGTAGTGGAAGCTGCGCGAGAACTGCTGGTGCAAGAGAGGCAGGAGAAGCTACAACTAGAAATACGTCTCCGTACAGAGATCTGCAATGAGATGCTGGAGGGCATGCAACAGAAGGAGCAATGGTGGAGGTACAGCTGATCAGGCTGATCAATCTCCCTGTATTCAGGGCATGCTGTGGTACCAAGGACTATCAGATCGAGATGCAGATAGTTGTTTGCTTTCTTTGTAGCCAACACATTGATGCCCAGAAGGAACTGCTGGAGGAACTGTATGAAGATAAACTGAACAACCTGAAGGAGTCACTGACTGATTATTACCAGGAAGAAATCCAGGTTTGTTCAGAGGGATGGAATGACATCAGGAGGAAGGTGGCAGAGACTTTGGGGTACTTAAGTCCAGGAAGATGATGGTTACACAGAGTGAAAATAAATATTTGTTTTTTTTTCTGTGCTGTGTTGATACATGATAACTTGGTCCACAATTCTTGTTAATTCTCATTTCTTGACTATTTTGTAATTAGTTGGACTTCCAGATTTTTCAACTCTTAATCTGGGAATTAATGTGTAACCATTTTTATTCCTCTAGTAGTCCAATGTAATTATTTGTCCCTTTATTTTTGCTAGTGGCTTGCCTTGCAATTTTCAAATTAACATCAGCTCTGTGAATCTCAGTTCTTAACTGTAGTTGTGAAGGGTACAGGCCTGTCTTTAGTTCTCATCATATGAGAGTGGCCCTCTCTGAAGATGCAAACTAACACATATTGTAGAGAGGCTGGAAAAATGGCTTAGGTTCTCAAGAAGTGGGTTCACTATCTTCACTTAAACGGCATTAATGCTGTATCCAATGTGTGAAATGTATGATGGAGAATGTCTTGTAGAAAAAAGACCCTGAAAATCTGACTAACAAAGGCTGTGTTAAGAAAGTCTTGTATAATTTTTGAACAAACTTGCTTCAAGGAGCGTGATGAGAAGATTGAAGAGCTCCAAGCTGCTCTGCAAGAGGCAAAACAAAAACTGGATGCTCAGCAAAGGGACTCAGAGCAAGGCTTGCGTCGATCAAAGCGAGTGGCTGCCTCGTGTGCTCTGCAACAGGAGCTGACAGATACTAAGGCCAAACTGGAGCAGTGTCAAATGGAGTTGAATACAACATCATCAGGTAAGGCAGGTTCATCTCCTAGTTCAAATTCTAAAGTTCCTTTGTTTAAATTGGAAGCCTGAGCTCTTTTCAGTTTGTCTGTCTCAAGGGCAGTCCAGACTTTAAGAAAAACCTAATGTTCTATGAATGAGCTCTTGCTCACTAACTTCTGTCTGTTCTTAGAGTTGCGCAAGTACCAGAGATTACTGGAGCCACCTCCCTCTGCCAAACCCATTACTGTGGATGTTGACAAGAAACTAGAGGATGGACAGAAGGTAACTCTATCTCTGTTAGAGAAAGAAACTTGCATAGCAAAATGCTTGCCAGTTTAAATGCTGCTCTCTTAAAGTCTTTAAATGGTTGACAGCATTCTAAAAGCAAGCCTTGAGCACAGATGTGGAAGATGCTGGTGTTACTGATTCCAGCGTACCTTAGTCAGATCTCCTTCAGTACTGCATGTCTGGATTATCTCAGAGCAGCCTTGTTTCTAGAACAGTGTTAATACAACAACTCACTTTAAATCTCTCTTGTAGAATGTGAGATTGCTGCGCTCAGAATTACAAAAACTTGGGGAATCTCTTCAGTCTGCAGAGAGGGCATGCTGCCACAGTACAGGTGCAGGGAAACTTCGAGAAGCCCTTTGTACATGTGATGACATCCTGGCTAGACAGGTAATGTGTTGTCTTTTGTTGCAGTGGTATTTATGTACTTTGATATAAGCAGTAGATAGACCTAGATCCTTGTGGCTGCAAATATAAATGACTTATTCTCTAGGTGTGTAAATACTTGTTATATTAAGGGAGCTATACTGCTAACTCTTTTCAGTGTCTGAGTCATACTGCATACTTAACTCTCCGAAGGAGACTCAACTATTTCTGTTCAGCCACCTGGCAGCTTGCACTTAAAGCAGAATTCAGAGTTCTCATTCCTTTATCCACTGTGCTCCATCACAGTTGCTATGGCAGCATGTTTACAGCAGGGTGGATTCTGTTTTTTTTTCTTAGCATAACTGTTTCCCTTTTGTTACTGAACTGCTATACTGGTGACAGCAGGAGCTTTTTCTGTATGGCTTTACTTAGCATGCTGGTTAGTGAAGTTCGGCAGAGTCTTTAATTCATAATAGCCAAGGAGTTATGTTATTGTATTTCTAAATATACTGCTTTCCATTTTTCAGGACCAAACACTAGCAGAACTGCAGAACAACATGATGCTGGTAAAACTGGATCTGCGGAAGAAAGCAGCTTGTATTGCTGAACAGTATCACACTGTACAGAAGCTCCAGGCTCCTCCAATGTCTACTCTAAAGAAACGGTTCTGTGCCAACAGGGAAAACCTACAACCTAACCAACCTCCTGGCAAAAAGCCCTTCCTGCACAATCTTCTGACACGTTCAGCTCCCCGTCCTGCTGCTACCAGAGGGTGGCAACTTCGATCAGTTGCTCTATGACTTCTTGGAAAGGCATCCCTGCCTCCCCATTACTGGAACAGGTGGCACATCCAGTATCATAGCTTCTCTTCTTCTTTGTGTGCTTGTTTATTATTGTAGCTGCTTGAGAGCTTATGTAAACATTTCTGCATATGTATGGTTAAAAGTTTTAATCAATACCAAAGTGAACAAAATGACCTTCTGTAATTTAAACACTACAGTGAGGAAAGATTAAGTATAAAACAGTGCAGCTGAGCAGAGTGTGGTTTAACAGAAGGACTAGTTAAAATGAGTTCTCTTCAACTATGTTGGCACATAAAAAATAAGTTCACAAGATCCTCCTTGTAAGATATTCTCCCTTCCTTGAATTATAATCCTTTATTAAAGTATACACGTTCTAGGTCAGGGCTGTTCTCCTGGATCTTTGCTTGTAAGTCTGGCTCCAAGCGTGTTACAGACATAGAACTGAGCAAAAGAAACAAGTAAAATGGTTATATACAACAAGCACTTGATTCTAAAATAAGACTGAATCTCTTTAAAATTCCTGGGTTCTGAAAAGTTTACAAAAAAAATTGAGAACTCCTCATAAAGGAATCATGCTCCACTGATCAAGCAAAGAAATCCCCCATTTCTAAGGTGTTAGAGATGTTCCATACCTTAAAGGAACAGCTGAGTTCCTATTATCATAAAGGTAGGAACCTAAGGAGTTGCTTAAGGTTGTCTCTGTCAATAGAAACTTCTCTTCTTTAGGATGTTTTTCATAATACAATGCCTTTTGCCTGTTTAACTTATTGTCTGATTTTATTCAGTTAATGTTTGAGTCATCACACAAGTGAATTCAGCTGCCAGATTGCATAAACAGCTGCAATTTTCTAAAGACAGTTTGAGATCTAATCTTTTGTGAAGTTGAGAGCAGTAGTTAGAATTAAGAGGTAGAGGGGTACTGTGAGTTCTGTGCTTGCTGTCTCCAGGTAAGTTTTAGTACAGTTTTTTCTATGCCAAAACTGCTTTGTAGTACTCAAATCAGATGAAAATTAAGTTTTTTTTTTTTTTGGAAGTCAAAAGCTACTTCAGTTGCTCACTATTTTAACCAATTCAGCTCCAGCTTGCATCTTTTAAGCTAAGTTTGGCAGCTTGTCAACTTGTAGTTCTGACAATCACTAAATAATGATGAGTGATAAGTAAGTTGAATATGTAAGACCCTGTTTCTACCATATACTACAATCTGAGGTAACTCATCCAGATTTTACTCAGCTGAGTTATTAACAGATTTTCATACTGAGGAGTTTGTATGGATGGAAAAAAAAACAATCAAGTTGCAAATAAGCACATACAGTCAAGTGCTGTTCTCTATAACCAGTTTCTAGCTAAAAATGAAATGGAATCTGACCATTCTTAATGAAGCCATAACTTTACTGGACATTAACGGATCATTTAGGCTACATTAATAACAATGTTACTCATTACTACTTTTCTGAATATTCTCATGTTTATCATATTATATGAATATTGAGAATGTATGCTCTGGGAGGCAAAGCTTATGTCTCTTTGCAGTACCTTGCATGTATTGAATGTAACATTAAAGAAAGAATAACATAACAGGAATACGTACCTTTTTTGAGGAAACAGTGCACAACACAGAGGAGTTGCAAATACAAGGCTAGAGAAGACAAAAACAGTTTACAATATTTAGGGTGCTAAAAGAAAGTTATATAGTCTAAGCACAAAGCTCTTTTGTTTTGGCATAGATAGTGAGATAAGGTTCAGTGAGAAACAACAACTTCACTTCTCATTGCATTATACTTCTAAAATCCTTTATATATTATGTAGTACTTAAATGCATAAGCAATACCCTTTCATCTGATGTCCATGCAGTGCTTTGCACTGGTTATGTGCAACATAAGGTGCTAGACAACAGCAAGTGAAACCTTCCATTAACCAGATGTTTCAAGAACTTAAACTCAGTATTAGTTTACAATTATTATTTATGGAGGTGGCAGCTAAAGTATCTTTTTAAAAATCAAGTTGCTTACATATTTCCTGTCACTTCCTCTTCCCTATCTCCTGCCTTTTTTTTTTTTGTCAGCTTCTTTAACTGCTTTTTTATGGTATTATCAGCTTTATCAGCCACAGATGTGGAAATGAAGTGCTGTAGTCTCAACTTCTCAGAACAGTGGAGGAATGTTATTTCTGCAGCTTCTTACCTGTATTGTTTCAACATACATAGGTGTTTTTTTTTTACCTTTATACAAAATGCAAATGCTACTTTCCTTAGAAAACAACCCCTGAAGTTATACCTACAAAATAGCAGACAATACAAAAGATGACACTCACCAGAATCCAACTAATCCAACTTGAATAGGAGCACTCATCCACGGAAATCTCTGTTTAAAATAAAATATAACAGTGAGTACAGTATCTTTTATTCCTCTTCCCACCTTGGAAACTTGCATTGGAAGGGACAGCCTGCACCTAAAAGTCTGTTTTACATGATAAAAGGAAAACAAGCATACCTTAAGCTTGAGCTATGGCTTGAAAGCCTTATCCCAACCTCTTTCAACTAGCAAGAAAGCTCTCAGTGATATCAGCATATGCTTATTCTGAGCATCCCTTAGAAACTACAATAGGTGACCAACTGTTTTACTTTTGAACTGATCCTGACCTGAACCTCTCTGAGTCATGTAAGCCCACAGTAGCTAGCAAGTTGGGAGTGGTGCTGGTAGCATGTGCTGGCAGACCTCCTGAGGGCACAGGGAGTTTGGCTGTAGCTCTCTCTTCAATACCATCAACTGGCTTTAACTCACAACTGCCACTCTGCTCTGTGGGCAACAGCCCATTGCACCTGCCAACCAAAAATAAGGGAGATATCAAGGAACTGATTGCCCTTCCTCCTGTCTTATGATATGATTTGATGTGTAGGAATTTAACCATTAAGCACACAGCCTAGTACAGTCCAGTTCTGCAAGTGTTCATTTCTTGTTAAGGAAAAAAATAGGGGGGGCTAGGGGACAAAGCTGAGAAAGCACCCCATAATACAGACTTTTTCTTTACAGCATACCCTCCAGTACTGTAACTCTTGCAGAACTTGAACATACACCAAGAAATGGCATAGTTTACTTGTAGGTCTTTGGAGGGTTTAGGAAACCCCTCCTCTAGCCCAGGTTAGAATTCTAGTTGAGTGCTAATGAAATAAAGCCAGATCTGTTCAAATATCATTTCTAGACAGGGCTTTTACCATTACAGCAAAATCAGTGTCTTTAATAAGCAGAATGTACATAACAGAAAGCTGATTTTTAAACAAATGAGCTAATGAGTAAGAATGTGTTATGGTGGGCGATGCTCTCAACAATGGAGATGTTTTTCTGCAAGAGGCATTATTCAAGATGTAGAAGTTACAGGGGAAACCAGTGAACAGAAGACAGGCAGTATTTGACAGGTGAGATAGAAGAACAAAATTTAGGCAGTGTGATAAAGCTGGTGCTAAGAAAGGTCTAAGCAGTGGTAACCAAGCCTGCGTATGAAGCTTTCTCCAGAGCCTGAGAGAAAGAGAAAATGTAGAACACACTGTTCCTCTTTTCTTCTTCCTGGTGTTAACCTGTAATCCAGAAATGAATGCAGAAAGAACTGCACAATTCAACAATGAACTGCAACAATAGATAATAAATGGAAAAAGCAACAGTAAGAAGGGTAAAGACTGAATTCAGCTGTGCTCCATTGTTCTGACAATTCACTAAATACACCTTTGACTCTCACTTGAAATAAAATCACTCAAAACGCTTTAAATTTTTATATACTGGGAGAGTTCCAATGGCAAGAGATTCCATGGCTGACAGGGGAGGATCAGAAATGGGACTGTGCCAATCACAGCTCACAGATGAGGGACAGCAGTTACCGAAGTCATCATCCTATGTTTAAGCTGGGAACACAAAAACTCAGTAAGGTAACTGGCTCCTGTATACAGGGAGAATTAAAGGAGAGGGATGCTGAGAACTGCACTGCAAGATACATAAAAGAAAAGCCCCAACACTTCTATAACCAAAAAGACTTGAAGGGCATCATAATTTTGGTTTCAAGCTTTCATCTGAGTTGGTCATGATTCTGAAAAAGAGAACTGTCTATGAACACAGACAATACTAACACCTATTTCACTGGCTGGAAATTTTGCCAAGGTGCTTGATCTGAATTATAGCTTTTATTTTTCAAGAGTTTTTCCAGATGGCACTAATTAAGAACAATGGTAAGGTAAAACACTGATACTAGAAGGTCAATGGCTGCCTAGAGAACGATTCAAAATAATAAAGCCAGTCTCAAATGCAGGCTGCACATCCTTACAAAGAAAAAACACAGAAGTACAAGACAGCAGAAGAATTTAGTCTGTTAAAAGATGTATTTAAATAAGGGAGAAGGCAATTTCAGACGAATTAGGATTTAAATTCCAGATGACTTCAAGGCATCTTTGGCAGTTACTGCAAAGAGAAAGTAGAGAAATGACAGCAAACAAAATGCAGAAACGGAGCAAGCAAACAAAAGCCAAAAGGAAAAATCAGATTTTTTTCTGCTACTTCTACTGTGAGATCTCCAACTGTGTCAGTTCTAGGGGTAGCTATGACTGTTCTCAAGGAACATGACTAAATGAAACAACAGCTAAAGAAGGAAAGCATGGAATGATCTAAGGTGTAAGACATTCAAGAATGATATTTAAAAGAAAAAAAGACTCTGTTCTAGTTTTGTAAGAGCTGTGAATATGTATTTTCATTACAGACTAAGAGACTTGAAGTTTCTGGAATCAATATAATATGCAGAACCAGAGAGAAACAGTTGCTGAGGATGTGAGAGCAGCAATATAAATTAAAGCTTCAGTTTCCCTTGGGATTTTCAGACATTTCTATGAGATGTTTTATTTCCCATGGGGAAAGGTTATCTGAGACTAAAATCTATAAGCCCTGTCCCTTAGAGCAAGGTTGCTTATGCATCCATTTGCTGCAGCAAAGGTAATAATGATTTGGTTCCACGTGGAGCTAGTCAATACGTGCAGTGTACAGCCAGCATACAGCCTCACCATCAAGAGTCACTGCATTGCTTAATTCCTCAAAATGCAGTCAAAGCAACTGCTGAAATCAAAGGCAAAAGCAGTGTATACATAAAACCAAGTTTTTAGAGTTTCCTGGTCAAGAATTAGGATTCTTTTTGAACCAGTATGTGTTTGTGTTTTAAAAACATTTTTGAATCATCTTCTCTCAAAAATTATTGCAAATACTGTAAGCTATATTAGTGCTGTAATTGAAATATCCTCATGCAAAACCATGTCAGAAAATGGAAATGAATAGTACTACAGAACATACATCTTATTTTAAATATCAAAGGATGACTTACTGCTATCACTGAGACCAGCAGTCCAGAAGTATTTACCTCTATCTTACTGCAGAACATTGTTTTATGTTCCTCATCATTTAACAGCCTTTTGACTTTTCTGGTCCTGCATGTTGCTTTAGTAGGCTTTGGCAAGCTTACAAGAAGTTTTTTTTTTCAAGAGTGAGAGCAAAGCAAAGACTAAAAAAAATGAGTTAGTAAAGCTTGTGTGGATGGTGTTGGAATACTGCAAGTGGGATGGCGCTTCTGAAACCTCAAGAGAACGTGCAGAAGCTGCTTGTTAGAAATGCACCTCATTCCTTAAAGGCTTTAGTACTAATCTCTACCAAGTGTTACCACTGATGACCTGTAGAGCAGTGTTTCATCTCTGCTCAGTCTTTGAGGCTGTGGGGGAGGAACAGGTGAGCATGAATGGTCATGATGGTACCAAAGACCACTGAACAGTCACTGAAGAGATCACTCATTTTTGCTGATCTGAAAAATTCACAACACTCTTATGTTGACACCACACAAACAACAACAGATATGTCTTCAAATCCTGAGAATTTTCACAACTTCTTCACAAATGTCATGTATTTCCAGTTGGCTTGATGGCATTTGTATTAATAATGTTCAAGTAATACATTCTCAAGGACACAACAATATCACAAGCCACTTAAAGTTATTTTGCCAACAGAGAATGGGTCAACTGCCACGGAGCCCAATCAGTACAGGGCTCCTCACACTGCAAACAAGTCAGTGTATTTGGATGCACTGCAGTTTCACTTCTTGAATGAGATAAAAGCAAAAGACTTTAATTCTAAAATTCAAACACCATATTTCCTACCTTTACATTATGAGCAACAGTGTTTTCTTTTAACAGGAGTGGGGGGGAAAAAAGCAACAGAAATCTCTACAGGAAAACAAAAGGTTTTTTGCAATTGGAACACCTGGGATGTTTTCCCAATGCCCTGTTTATCTACTAATACACAAGCACTTTCAAATGATGCAAGTAACCAGGTTATCTAACCACACACAAGAAGTGTGAAGATAAGAAATAATAAAATTGCAATACTTTAGAAAGTTTTATCATGGACAAACCAATAGAAATGGGCAATTTCCTCTGCTCTCCCTCCCAGCTGCTGCCCAAAGTGCTTTTCCAATGGAGGATTTGGAAACCCTGACCTAATAGGGAGGAAGCAGATCCACTTAGTCTATCACTCCCAGCTTGCCCAGCACGTTTCCCAGGCAGAGATTTTGTCTGGAGCTATGCAAGCAAGTAAATCAGTGATATCAACAAAGATAAAATTCCCTTTACTGCTGAGGAGTGGTCCTGGCTGTATCTCCTCATTTAAAAATTGTTTGTCCAAATTTAAGCAATTATATAATTAATTTCATTGTTGTTCTTTATGATCTTATGCACACACAGTACCATGCTGGTTTAGTTTATACATTTACAACACCAGATTTGACTTCACACTACTTGAGCAGTAATAGAATTCAGGGAATACATCATCCTTGATGGCATGTGCACATCCCACATCTACCCCATCCTCACACATCCAGTTTGTTTTAAAAGATCATTTGAAAAAAGCATTTTTATCATCACTATTTCCAAACTCAAACTGCTACTATGGCAGCAAAGCAAAGCTTCCTTCATTGATATTTTGGAGGGAGAGGGGGAAGAATTATACAACCTTTTACTATTTTTCAGATAAGCTGTATTGCAAGTCTTGGTAAGAGGAAAGTGTCTTTACTAGAAAGAACTCTGCATTTTATACATAATTACCAGGATAACAAAGTGAGTAATTTCGTGTCCTTTAAGATTAAAAGAACTAAGATACCTTTATCAGTGAAAGACAAAGAAAGCAGCAGCTGTAAAGTACACTCTACAATGAGGTACTCCAGGAATGCTCCGGAGGAGAACACCAAGACTTGAAGTATTTTAAATACATGAAAACATTAGCTTCGCATGTGAAATACATGTACACAGTTTATCTAAGACTAACCTTTAGAAAGGCTCTTTTTTCCAGTGTGTTCATTATAAAGGGAGGAATTGCTGCAAATGAGAAAAAAACAAAAATGAACTAACACTGGAATTCAGTTTTCACAGCTGTCATTAACTGAGCTTTCATTTCATGTTGCCATTAAGAGATACTGGATTGCTATTTACATAAGTAGACTCCTCCAGTAAGTGGAACTTCCAATTTCACAGGTAAAGGTAACTACACCTGAGCTCAGTAACTTGGCACACACCTTCAGTAAACCAGTGCCACTCGAGCAGGATTTGCAATGATTCCTTTGCTAACTGCGTAATTTCTACACAAGCACCCCAGGAACTGTTCTGTTGCACATCAGTAAGAGATGCAGACTTAAAATTTAACAAATGCAAACACTATGTGCATACCTGTAGGATAATTGGGCCTCTAAGAAAATCACTTCCATAGAACTTAAGCTCTCTGTCACAGTAAGAACATATAATCAGGAGCTGTATATGACTGAACTTATTCTTACCCATGCCAGGAGCAGCCATGAGGATCCTTGATATAACCACCTGAGTAATTGCCTGCTGAGCTGCCTTTGTTGATTCACCCAGTCTGTTTCCATTCTCATCTGTGATGGGGATTCCAAACTTGAGTTCCCTGGAGAACAAAAATAATACAACAGAGACTGACACACATTTATCTGCTTTTTTTGGTCACGTTTCTCCTCTTTAAAACTTTTGACTGGAAAAATTATGCTATTTTATTATTCATGTTTGGAGCAAAAATTTCAAAAAATAAAGATTTGGGGAAAAATATGCTAAAAGTGAACAACTGAATATTTGTTGTCAATATTGAATAATTGAATATTTGATGTCAGTCTGACATCTGAGCCTGGCCACACATTCTGAGACCGGTTGTTTCTGTAGTACACAGAAGAGAGAGGGTTCTTCTTCAGGAAAGATCAGAATGAATAGAATTTTCTGGACTGCTCTTAAAGCAGTCTACAACATAGGGAATAAAGGCAGATTAGTTTCATTTAATGAAAACAATTCTCTGGCATTCTAGCCTGGGTTTTCATTTTAACCACCAAGAACGTATTTGAAAGTATACCAGAATGCACTAAGTAAGTTATAGTTCTGTATCTGCATAATTGCCTATAGAGCTTTAACACAATTCTGCACTAGAGCAAAGCTCACATACAGGGAAAAACCTTTCAGAAAGTGAGAAGCAGACAGAAGGGCAGATATAGTGATGACTGCTTTAGTTCTTCTTCCCATCTTTCATATGAAATAAAATACTACCACAGATTCAACTTCACCGTGAACATAAACATGAAGATATTCCCTTCTTTGCTCATAACCTTGTGTTTTTCCCCCCCTCATTTCTATTCTTATTTCTTGCCAAATTAGAATACATACGAAACTTTGTTACTGAGAAAGTGCATATTTTTTGTAATCTCAGAAGATTAAATAGAACTCTGACTAACTTCTGTATGTGGGATTTGAAGCACCGCTCTGAAATGATTATACTTTTCCATAGCACAGTTTGTATCGAAAAGGCCCACATGATCAAGTCTTGAAGGACAGCTACTTGGTTACTGAGATTGAAGGCTGAAGAGCTAAGTAGATATTTATCTGAAGAGAATGAGAACGTTCTATTTTACACGTGTCACAGTCGATCAATTAATACAAGACCCTGCCCAAGGTTCTTGCGAGGTTCTGAAACAAGCTAAAGATAATATAATGTTCTTTTTTCAGTACCTCACTGATCTAAGAACTCAATAACATCCTTTCTTTTAGAATGAGTGATTTTTTTTTTTTTTGCCTTTCCCTACCTTTGTCTCATTAGTGGAATATTAATGCAGTTAGCAGCAGCAACAGCAGCAAAAGGAACAAACCGTCCTATAAGAGGTGAGACATGCTGTGAAAAGTAAAAAGAAAAAAAAGAATTACATAATTATTTTTTCCAAAGGTCACATCAAGATGCTTCACTTGTTAATGATAAATGAGATTTTCTTTAAATTAAGATTCAGTTAAAAAATCCCTGGTAAGGTAGAGGCAAAAGAGACATAAGCAAGGCTTAAGTCATAAATACTTCTATCAGGGTGAACACTGGCAGGAGACTGGCAAAAACCACCTTAATTTACTAGCATCATTGCAGACAAATACCAGCTTCTGAGCATGCCTGTCTGCTTGATGGCAACACTAAATAGACTTTAACTTCACTGTCTTCAAGGGAAAGGTTTCAGCCAGCAGCATTTCTAACAGCTGCTTTGCATCTAAGGACACTCACTGCATGAAGCCATTTATGTAGTCTCGTCTCGTATAATCTGAGTTACTCTGCTTAGGATAGTATCTCTCAAATACGGTGTCAATGCTGTACCATACTACCATGCCCAGTATACTAAAGCATAAACTAAGGGATATAAAACAGTTTTTTTTTTTTTTTTTTCTTGGAACATGCTGTGTATTTGTTTGAAGAATTTGAGTTTTCCATATTTAAGAGAAGCAGCTCTTCACACATTCTTCAGCCAGTCCAGAGTAGGCTTCCATGTTTCCAGAAGGAATACTGTACATTAAAAACCAGGCAAGCTGCACAGTTGTGTAACAGGCCTATGTCATTGTAATTACATCCATTGCAATTAACTTTCAAATGCTGCCAGATACTTTGACACCTTAAAAGAGATGGCAAAAAGGCACCTTTATAGAATGCATTCTGTGTAAACATCAAGGATAGGGCATTTAAAGTATATATAAGTCCATCTATATGGGGCAAGAAATAAGATTGGGAACTAAAGAAGAGAGCTTCCAAGGGTAATTACAACTCCATGATGGGAGCTGTGCACAGCATGACACAGAGCCAGAGGAGGGAAAGCGACCCATTTTATAGAACACCAAAATCTGAATAAGAATGGAAAAAGTATCAGCAGTACCTTTGTTAGTGCATTAAGTCCTAAAGCTGTTGCAACAGCACCTGTGGTAGCAGAAACATAGGCTGTTCCCAGCTGGCTAAAACAAAAATAATAATGTTTGTACATGCACAACAATTATATCCATGCCACTTTCAAAAACAAACAACTTTTACACGCACAGTAAGTTCCTTCCACCTACAGAAGTTAAAGCATATCTTACTGCAGCAACACAGAAAGTGCTAAGGATGGAATGGTCAAATGAAACCATAAGTTAACCCTTCATAAGTTAACCCTTTTTCTTCCACTATCAGTAAAAACAACAAGCAAGCAACATTTTAACTGTGAGCCAGGCTCCACTGATTCTGCACTGCTGTATGGCATTTTCTCTTATGTCTGAATGAGCACTTTGAAGGATTTAGTTCTGTATTTAATTTCTAAGGTCAAATCTACAATAGCATTTGAAATGAAAAGTACCAAAACCCATCTGTGTAAACCAGCTATGCTGTAAACACTCAAATCCAACCCAATCAGCCAGTCTATATATCCTCTAATCCACTGCCTTCTGCCAGACAGCTACAAGAAAGACAGCCTCAGAACTGATTAAGGTCCTTAGATTTTATCTTTAAGAGCAAAAAAGGAGGTCACATTCATCACACTCAGGCTTTTTCACTATACATACCATAATGCTATAATGGGGTGATAATAGCAGGGTAGCAAAGTCTTTGGCTACAGCAAGCGAGAACAAACCCAAACACAGCAGCCACAGATGCAGAAATGAAGAAAAAGAGCTGCTTACCTTCAGAAAGCCTCAGACAGGCAGGGATCTGCAGCAAGAGATGCCCTCGCCTCCACTGCCAACCCTTCCAACCCTTAAGTGAGGTTTCCCATGCTGGGAAAGGATGGATCCTGGCTCTATCCCTTCTGTTCACTCAACTGCATTGCATGCACCTGAGCTGCCCTGGGCTGGCCCTGCCTTCCCACCAGGTGCTCAATCACTGCTTCAGGCCATGACTGAGCATTTCCACTACACAATACCAAACTGATGATAAATGCAGATGAATAAACTTATCTATCATCTCAAAGACCAATCATACTCCAGTCCATTAGAGAGAACTTGCTAACACATCAGAAGCATCTGGTTCAGTGTCTGACCTGACAGTAATTGGGGCATCACCGCTCCTGTTTGTGTAATTTACTATAGCATTGAAGGACTGGTTAATCCACTGCCAGAAAACCACTGCTGGTGTCGTTCTTGAAAAAAGAAACAACCATTAGTATTTCTAAAAACAGAGTTGAGTCAACAGCACAGAAAAATCTTGGCAAATCAAGAAAAGCCAATGCAAGCAGTAATCATACAGTTTCTTGGATACCTGAATAAAGCAATTCAGTCAAGGAGGTACTGTCTTAGTAATGAAAATGCAAGTTACTTCTAAGAATAAATTTTAAAAGCATTGCAAATGAATAACAGTTCACTTGGGACAAAGGTTTATAATAATAGCAAAAGCATTATAGTAAACCTCTCTACAAAAACATACAGAGGAAAAAAATGAAACTCTACAAGATCTAGAGTACTTCTCCAGAGTTAGTCCTTTGCAGTTCACTTCCTTTCTTTGGAAACTCTGTAAGTGACTCAGAAATGGATTTTAGAGGCAGGGTTTACTTTCTCAGTCTTCAAAAATTTTAATGCTCCTAATTGTTCTAATAAATCCGAGACATTACAAGAAGGAAAAGTGGGATATATGGATTAGGAGAAGCATCCAAGAGCTTATATCACAGCAGCTTCCAGAAGAAACCAATAATCAGTGAGGGTATGAAGGAACACAGAGAAAAGAAAGTTTTACTTCCTTTTTTATTTTAGAATATTTATTACACATCTTCTAAAACGCTCTTCTGACAATAACACTGGCTTTCACTTATCTAATTTGTAGGGAAATGTTTCATGTGTTACACTGCCACTACTTACCTATAAAAGGTCATCATACAACCTGTGATAGTCATGTTCATGGGTACCTGAGCTGACATTCGGCCAATCAAGACCATCTTTTCACCAGTGTCTGGATGAAAGGCTGAATCATAGATATACTTTGCTCTCCACAGTTCATTTTCAGTCAATCCAGGTGCTACAATACCTTGTCTTGGAACAAATTGAAACCAACAGAACAAGACAACAGCAAAAAGCACAACAGTTATAAACATAAAACGTACTTCCAGTGAAAAGCTTAGCATCAAAAGGAGGCTAATTTAATCTAGCCTTATAGTCAGCTTGTAGATCTTCAACTATTAAATAAATTGGTGAAATAAGAAGAATTAACACTCCCAGCATGTGGTTGTATGGGCTGAGTTGACGCAACCAGCATCAAACTTCTCTTGACTCAAGCCAGTACTGGGTCTGAGCTGAAATGGACAACTAAAATCCCTGAGCATGAAACTTCGGAAATTTAGTTTGATTTAACAAACCACGTGCTCCAAAAATACAACATATGAAAGGGTATTTTAAACTGTTGTTCTATTGACTATTTTCAGAACTAGACACTCCCACATTTTCAAGTACTAAATAGTTTTTCTCAGATGACAATTTCCCCTTTCATTAGTAATCTGACAGCGTTTCAAGCTCTGAAACAAGACAAAAGAGTGGTGCAATAAATACTTCTAAATCTACAATTGTGATATTCTTATTACTGTCATGACTTTTTTGGGCCAGCATTAAAAATGACTGTCATACCTGTAATCATGCACGATTTTTCTTGCGCTTTCCAGCTGGGCATCAGATAACAAAATATTTCGGGGGTCTGTTACAGTGAAGAAGTGACTGGCTCGTCCAATGAAAGTGCTTTGATCCCATCGGGGCTCCTTGATGTTAATATTTAATGGTATATCTGCTGACATCTTCAAAAACTCTGCGAAGAAAAGATGAACATTTGTAATTCAGAATTCTTATTCCGTAACATGTCTCAAACTGATAAGACTCCACAGTGAAAAATAGCTTTAGTTGCAGAAAAAAAAGAGACACATCTTGCAGAACTGAGCTTTAAAGGAGTACAGAAAGTAGATGATGTCAGAGATCACAGTTTTAATGAGATTGGTATTCATGCAAGAAAATGAACTAAACTTAAATATCTACATTTTTGGGCTTGCTTCCCAAAACATTTACACATTTCATGGTTTTCTGTAAGACCATGATTATCTGAGGATGAGTAGAATGCAAAGTATAATAGCTCACTAAGAAGTAGATGTACTAATTAACAAGATATTAAACAGAAATCTGCTTTACTTGAGTGATGAATTAGTGTTAGCTGAACACGTTGTCATAAAGGGAAATTAAACTTTTCAAGAGATGCCTGAAGAGCCATTATAAAGTTCAGTAGCATTTAGCAAAATCCAGTTAGCACCTCTGGCATTGCAAAGCAAAAAAAAAAACAAAAAAAACCTGGGATTACAAACACCAAATATTATTTTCAGTAAACGCAGTTTCTCCAAATCCATGCTCTATTGAAACAAAGATTTCATAATGCAACAATTTGCCACATTATGAGCGCATGAACAGTTCCTCTAATGAGGCATCAAGGATGGTAACAGAACCACAATGACAGGCACCAAACAAACACAGCTCTGCATTTAGAGGGCTTAAAGCCCAGAAAATTAAAAATTTACTGAAAAATGACTAGAAGTACTCTGACATCTGATCCTTACCTCCCACTAACAAACCCTAAGGAACACTGTAAAGCTCCTGAGCCACTGGTGTAAATTTGGTAAAGCTTGTATGGTGGAGAACGTAAAAAGGAATTATCAGAAGAAAAGAACTAAGGATGCAGAGTGTCTGCAACATTAAAAAAAAAAAAACAGGGAAAAAAAGGAGAGAATATTTGTGAAACCTGAAGAAGTCGTTGTCTATCCATCAAATGTAATTATGATCCCTCTTCTTCTACATTAAGCGGAAAAATCTGTTAGTCACAGGAGAAGAGAGGTCTACAGAAATAAAGGCCTAAATGCCTGTTCTGCTGTGTGCCATATGCCTATTATGAAAAGCACTGGGTTTTCCAGTATCATTGGATCACAGAATGGCTTGGGATGGATGGGCACCCAAGGACCATCAGGTTCCAAACCCCTGCCATAGGCAGGGCCACCAACCTCCAGATCTGGTACCAGACCAGGCTGCCCAGGGCCCCATCCAACCTGGGCTCAAACACCTCCAGAACAGAGATACAGCATGACAAAAAAACAAGCAAACCAGACCATCTTCTGGACTAAAATGGTGACAGCTGCAAAGGGCAGGGAAATCATTCTGGGAATACTTCCCTATCAGTTAAGTATTTGTGGGAAAGTCTGTTTCAATATCCTTTTAATTAAATTATCAGTTTCATTAGGAAAGATTAAACCTGCTTAGGACAGCTTATGTCAATCTGTTTAAAACTGTCCAACGAATGCTTAAAAAAGCACTCCATAAACAGAAGCTCTTTGCTTTCCTTTCACACTGATCAGCAAGTGCTGAAAACTGCTTTGTCTATATTACTGGGTTGTCTGTGATTTATTTTTATTGCACACAAAACTTCTGCCATGAACCCCAGATCTAAACAACAAAGATCAATTCAGTATAACTTCACTCCAAGTCACTCAGCCTGCCCTGATGGAGGTGGATCTACAGAGAACAGAGGAGGGACCACAGCCACATCCTATCCTTACCCCCAGTTAAACTGACATGAGCACATCTAACCTTGCTACCAACACACCTCCATCTTCGTGTGTGGGCACATCCCAAGGAAAAAGATAGGCTTTCATGGGGCTGCATGGCAAGGGTTAGCATGGCAGCAGCAAAAAGCAAAGCAGCAGGAAAATGGAAAACACTTTGACAAAGGATCCTTGGCACGTGCCGCAGCAAATACTTATGCTTGAAATCACTGTGTCTGTTTAAAAAGGTGACAACAGGAACAAAGAATACTGGCTTTGATAGGACTGGTCTTGACAAAGGTAAAGCAGAGCACATGGACTCCAGTCTTGCTGGCATTCACCCAGCAAAAGATTTGCTCTTGTGCAAAAAGAGATCAAAGCCTTGGGTGCCTACTATCCAAGATCACAACGTTTTCTTCTCAATCACATGACATAACTGACTTGCACTTTAATACTACCAGTAGGCACAATGCTTTTCTAAGTGAGTTTCAAGTCATAAAGACTCTGCATGGACAGACCACAGTGCACACAAAGGAGCAGATGCTGTCCATGCAAGGAAGCATAACAAGTTCCAGACACTGGAAAAATACAGTTTGGTGACACACAAAACCTGCACTGAAGTAGAAAGGTTGCTGGGTTTGTTGGTCTCGGGACTCTGAGTCACTGCTCTGCTACAGTGCTCCTGGTCTAGGAGAGCCAGGGAAGTTCTGCATTGAAAGTGTACATGATCTCCAGCACAATGCTTTTAGAATATCATCACTTGTGTCAAATAGTTCTCAATATAAGTTAAGCATGTCCAAAATTTAAGCTCAAATTACCCGAATATTCGTAATAAAAACGTGATAAGAACTAATACAGGGCTCCAAGGTTAAATCAAGTTAAAATAAACCCAAGTGAACTGTGAGATAAGTGGGAAGTTTGCAGAATGGGAAGTAAATGCACAAATCTTCCAGAATGAAAGTGAAAAGGTTGACTTTGTTCTACATACACAATTGAGCATTAAGGGGCTGCTGCAGTCCACCTCTTTATTAGTTGACTAATAATTTAAATTTACTGTTCCCACACCTATGGCTATTTGGTAAGTGGTGACAGAGGGGAGAACGCCTGCAAAATAAGAGAACTGAGTTTGCAGCACCTGAGATTTTTAAGGTGGAAAGGTAAACAACACAATTACCCAATCTGGTCTGAATGCCCATCTTCCTCAAGCAACTCCATTAGCAGAGGATTTGAGAGACGGCATTAATTAAATTACTGAAATAATTCAGACTTAAACAGCGCCCTGTGGTCACATTCACAACACAAGAGGATCAGCACAACATGAGTGGATAAATGACAAGGATGACAACACAGCACAGCAAAGCACAATATCACGGAAAATGCACAGTAAGAAAGAAAGAACGTCTCTGCTGTTTCAAACAACTGACTAAATGGGGAAGTATTGAACAGAATCACATATACTTACAAACCTCAACGTTAGCAACACCTCATACTAGCAAATTAAACCAATAATAAAGCACTGAGAGTCCTCTGGCACATTCATACTGCTGCACTCCCCATTTCCCAATGCCATGGAGAATGGCTGCACCGTGGGATGGTTGCAGCTGCTGTGGGCAGAGCTGTGCTCCTGCAGTTTGGCACTGCAGCTCCCCAGCACCAACACAGCGACCATCCATGTTGCACAGTGCAGCCATTTGTACATATCAAGGCATGTTTTCAGAATGCTAACTGCAATCACGTGCTTCATCAGCTTCCCACATGGGAATGGCTGTGGCTTGCTGGAACGTGCTGCCAGGAGTTCAGCTGCAGGACCAGGATGATGATTACAGACTCATCAAAATAATGAAGTTTTACTTATCCACAGCCAAAAATAAGATCTTCCTTCATCTGCAGAGAAACTCTGTATTCTGAATAACCTACAAACATCTTTCTTTTAAATTAAATCACTTCTTGACTGTGTCTTTCAACTCCCCTTTCCAATCAGAAAGTGACCTTGAACAGAATGCCCCAGTGCTAAGCACACCTAAACCTGCTGTCCTCTGATCAGACGAAAATGCCTGCAAGTTCCCAGTGTAAAATGACATTAATGGGAAGGAAAGAGGGCTTGGAACTAAGTGAGATTGGCCTCTCTTAAAAAATAATTGCATAAAACCTACACAAAGCCTGATCAACAATTTTAGTACAAAGGCTGCATTTAGATTTGCTGCAGAATCAGCAATAGCAGAAGACTTTAAACCCTGTTTAAAAGGTCAACAGTAGCAGTTGCAACAATTCTAAAAAATGCCGATTCAGGAGTTGTCAGTTCAACTCTCCAGTGTTCTATTTCCAAACTGCATTTCAGACAGCACACTGACTGCCACAGATCGCTTCTCACACTGCAGCAACAGCCAAAAGAGGAGCAAGGACCACCTGAGACAGTTTTGAGCAGCCCAGACGTTTGAGCATTCATTTTGACATGGATGAAAAGAAACACGGTTGAAAACAAAAGATGAAGTTTTATAAAATGTGAACCCTATTTGTTACTAACAGTGCACTTGAAGGACTCATAAACTAGGGGGTGAATTCAAGTTGGGCAGCCCAAACTCAGGCAGCAGTGCTTGAATGAGGAAACTGGATTTGCTACTTTCCTTGCAACAATATATGCTTTATGTTACTTATACCCTGTATTTTAACCCAAATCTTGAAAAAACCCATTCTGCAAGTAAAAAACTTCACCAGACACATCCCTGATTTTTTCCAATATCCAAGCTAAAGCTGAAAGTAGAGCTTTAAGAAAGGAAATTTCCTGATGATACAACTGCATATCCTGATGTTTCTGATACCTGTAGTCACTGTTCTGAGTCAAGAAGCATCCCTAGTGTCAAAATATCCATTCCTTGAGTGATACAGAGAGGTGCCACTGCTTGGAAGAGCAGGAGGTGATTCTGACAATGGCTAAAAGATAAGAACTGCCTGCAGGTTGCTGAGAAGTGTTATATTGTTTGAGAGAATATTTTGAGAGTCACTAGCCGGAAAACTCACCCAGAAATAGGCTTTTCTGAACAGATGCAAAGGCCTGGATTTTCTTGAGTTGGGGATCCTTTGGCAAATGCCCTCAGATTGGATAGGATGCTGCTTCACTACACAGAATTTTCTGTTCCTTTTTGGTTTTATGGGGGCCAGAGTCCAGATTATCAGCTCCAGTACCTTCCCCTATTTTAGTGGACTCTGCAAATGAGAGCGGCCTTTCACCTCCCTTGCATGCAGATCCAGAAAGCAAGCAAACACCGAGCTGGGGAGGACAAAGCTGGCCGAGAGAAGACTGTGTCTAAAGCAGTGCAGAAGTGATAATGAACATTGCAACATCTCACATCTCAGCTCCTCAGACCAAATCATTTATAACATTACTTATACATCACTGGACACATGATACTCACAGAACTCAAAGCAGCCTTTGTAGAGGAAGGGAATAAACCAGCCAACATAAATGCTAAATGAAAGATGGGACTTTCATGGTACCCTTTACCAGGACTTACTTAGATCCCTCACTTCATGGGCATTTGGGTCAGATCATGACTCACAAAATCTCCTAGGAGCTAAGTGTTCTTTTTTCAGAAAAAGGAGAAGAAAATCACTTTTCTTTCCCTCTCTGAAAACCGATTAAAAATAGAAGGTATCAGCAGTACCCACTTCTTATCAGAATCCTAGCATTACAGAATAGCTCTAAAGTTGGAGCCATGTGTTGCTGAAATCATTTGATGTGCAGATTCATGGAGAGAGAGAGACACATTTAGGCTCCTAGATCTCTGTCCTTCAAAGCACTCCCCCAGCAGCTGGCTGTGCAAATGTTCTGTTCTGGGAAACAAGAGACGTAGGTTGGAAAGCCTTAGGCTCAGAAAAGTACCCACTGCTACAAAATGGGAAGAAGAACAGCTCTCTCCTTTCTCTGCCTCATTTATAAATCAAATCAACCATGGCCACTTGCTTGTTACTGCAGAGCTCAGTTCCTCTGAAACCCCCTCATGGTGCTTTGATAGAAACTATAGAAAGATTCTGTTAGGCACTTTTATTCCTCCAATAACATACCGGCCCCTTTTAGGCCTTTTTTTGCCCAAACAAACTCAGTATTTCTGTTTTCCAGGAGGAATGCCATGAGAACAGTGGCTACTTGGTTTAGGAGAAACAAACAGGAAGTGTACTTCCTCCTGATCAGTAAAAAGTGACCCATTCTACTTTAAAGTTACAGTGCTCTGGTAAAGCAACAGCAAAAATGCAAACCCAGCTACTACCCATATTTCAATTGTTCTGGCAAAGGAAAGAACACAATGAATGCATTCTCCAGGGATGTCAATCAAGGCAGGATAGTTGGAAAGCACTTCTATGTGACGGTAAAACAGCAGCTCTCAGACTTACCGGGGTCATTAAGCAGTGGTATTCCTCTATTTGCACTGTGCCTGCTATCACAGTTTGAAAGAAGCAGCACGGAGAGAAGTATGATGCAACACACACCAAATGCTAACAAACACACTTGCGAAGCGTTCCTTCCCATCCAGTAAATATCTATTTAGAGTACAAAGAAAAGAATCCTTGCACTGTACTTTTTCCTTCTGTAATCACAAGAACAACAAACTGAGTGCTGGAGAAAGTAAATCACGGCAACACTGCAAGATACTTTTTTGCTTGCAAGTGTACATCCTGTTTGTAGCCTAGCAACAGAAGCAGCGGTCTGCGTTAAAAGGGCAGTGCCTGCTGCTGGGATTCTCTCCTCAAAACAGCAGCCATCTTTGGCGTGTCACTTGGTGGGAGGTTTCATCGTTCTGTACTGAAGCTGCTTCCAGATGTCCGAGCTGCAGCAGCGTGCGCCTGCACTTTGCTGTCCCCGCTCACACCACAGGGATGTGTCACACACCGACCTCTCCTCGTCATTAAGAGAGAAAAAGCTAAGAAGGGTTAACTCAAGGTCTGATTTTGTGTCATTGCTGCGAGCGTGTCTCTACAGCCCTGTGGTAAGCGGAGGTAGGATTATCAGGCCGCACCCAGACACGTTCGTCACCTTCTTCCACAGTTTTGGGTTGGTTTTTTTTTTAATATTGGATATATATTTCTGATAGGAACCATACAGCCAATTTTAAACTGGTACAAAGCCAGCCTTCGCTCCCTTCTGCTTTAGCATCATAGCAATGAAATAAACCCTCCTACTGAGAACCCCCGGCTCTGTGACACGGCACCCCGCTCTGCGGGCAGCCCGGGGGCGCAGGGAAGGTGCCGAGAAGGCGTGGAAGCAGAGCGTCCTCGTTCAGGAAACGGGAGCCAACGGAGGCTTGGGATCCTCCCCGAGGAGGACGGGGGTGGCAGAGCGGGCAGGGCGACAACCTCCACCCGCGGCCCAGCCCCGCGCCCCCCGCTGCCGGTACTCACCGCACCGCACCGCACCGCACCGCGCCCCGCCGGCTCCGCGCCGCCCCGCCGCCCGGAAGAGACTCGCGTTGCGCGGGGCCGGCTTGAAGAGCGGCCGCCCCGCTCCGCTCCGCCCCGTCCCGCTCCGCCCAGTGGGGCCGGGCGGAGAGGCGGGGGTCGGCCGGCTGAGCGGTCATCCCGGGCGGTAAAATAAAGCGTACGGCTTTATACAGCTTTGCACCAGAAACAAAGTGTAGTAGGAGGGCTGCAGGGGTGCTCTTCGCCTTTGTGGGGAGGACATCTGTGCAGGCTGAGGGAAGGTTTGGCACCGTGCAGCTCCTCGTGGCACCTCACTGCTCTGCTGTCTGTGGCAGCAACAGGGCTGGAGGGGACGGCGTGGAGCTGTGTCGTCGGAGGGCAGGTGGGGCTGAGGGAAAGGTTCTGCATCAGAGGGCACGGAACGGGCTGCTGGAGATCAGGGGGTGTTTGGACGATGCCCTCAGACACAGGCTTTGAATTTTGAGTGGTCCTATGAATGGACGGGAGTTGGATTCAGTGGTCCTTGTGGGTCCCTTCCATCTTGGGATAGTCTATGATTTTGTGATTTTGGGTTATTTGTGGCATTAAGGTGCCCTGCTTGCTCAGCTCCCTGATGGGACAGGCCTGCCATGGTCTGCTGGCAGCTCGTGGCAGAATGTGGCCTCAAGTTTTGCAGGCAGCTCAGGCTGTGAAATTACTTTCATAGTTAACGGAATAAAAGCTAATGGAAGGGTTACAAGAAATATTATTGGCCACCTCTGTAGCAGGATGGCAGTACTCGGTTGGTGAACAAATTGGATCATCAGTCAGTTTAATAGGAACAACTTCAGAGGCAAAAGAACTGGTGGCCCGAAGGCAACCTTGACAACAAAGATGGATGGTTATGGACTTTCTCATTTTCGTTACTCCGGCTTTAATAAGTATTGCAGAAAACAGCCAGCAGCAGGGAAATGCTCATAGGAAACCACAGTAACTGAACCCTTAGAAAAATAATTCACCCTCAGATCCTAATCCTAAAAAATAAAAAGAGGAAAAAAAAGAAAAAAGAAACTGTATTACTATGAAATTTCTTCCAGCTGATGAAAACCTTCTTGCATGTGGTGCCTTAAAAATGTCAAATAAATGTGGATTTAAATAAATAAAAGGCTGAGGAATGGATCACAGAGCTCATTCTTTTTGGTAATTATGGTCGCTCCTAATTTTCTCTTTGTACCATCTGATAGTTTCTCTGATGGTTACGAGATGTGCAGTCATTTGAGATTAAAAACAAAGCTAGGGATACTCAATTAGGCTGTTCCCATTCCTTTTCTATCCCTGCTTTTAGATGAACATGGTGATAAATGCACAAAAATCGCTAGCTCATTTCACAAATCAATTAAAGCTCATTAAAGTCTCAGTTTGGTAGTGTTATGATGATTTGATAAGTCAGCAACACGTGAGCTGGTGTCATCCCGTATCTCATACTGAGTCTTTTGGGAATGGGAAAAGCGTGCTGAGACAGGGCTGTGTTGCATCCCATGAATATTCTGCAAACAGTGCTAGGTTACCTTGTTGGTGTGCCAGAACAGCTCACCAACATGCAAAGGCCAAAAAACAGACACTCCGTGTCATAGACTCTTTGAAGTAACATAAGACGGGCTGGAAGAGGCTGTGGTGGCTCCCAGCCAGCTCTGTATTAGAGGACTGGGAGGGGAGGACCCCACAATGTGGTATGCAGTATACTGATCTGCAGCTGGGTAATACAGCTTTGTCCTTCTGAAGTCCTCATTCTCTCCCAAAGCCCCTGCACAGACAGTCCTATACACTAAATCCACATAGTTGAGTCAGTAAACTCAAGCATGTGTTTTCTTACAGGTTTTCATATGGAGTGGGGTTAAATGACAGTGTAAGTATTAATAGTACTTACAGGAAGCACATCTCTAGAGTCTGAAATGGATGCATGAAGTAAGTGCTACCTTGGTTCCTTTCGAAGTGTTCCTTTCAGTCACCTTATTTCCAGAAGACCTCACTGATAAGACTCCTGCAAACCTTCAGGTGTACATTCAGTCCTTTGTCTTTGTTGAACTAGATATGAATTCAACCCTCTTTGTGTTTCACCTGAAAGAATTTCTAGACTGCTGCAGAGCAAACCTCTCCCTATGCAAATTAGAGCAGGAACATTTCTGTTTTTGTACAGCTACTGCCTCATCTAAGAAATGAGCTTTACTGTATTTGCTCTCTTCAAGCTTCACTGCGTTCATAATATTTACATTGGACATAATAATTTTATATTTTTTGCCATTTCAAATTGGTGCTGGGAATCAAATGACAAAAACTGAGAGCTGCTGCGCACTGCAATTATTAACACAGATATCCAGTAAGTGGCACTGCAGGACTAGCTTTTCTGCAGCCCTGTATCACAAACAGCAAGCATGGAATGTATCAAGACTTTTCTACTCCACGAGAAAGGCAGTTGTACAGCGGGTGGGAAGCGATGTGTGATGATGGCTCTGAAGGTGCAGAGCAAGGAGCTGGAGTGTGTTCAGCAGCTGGCTCTGGGGATGGTGTTAGGAACTAGCCTTGGCACCAAGCTGACTGTTATCAGAGGTTTGCCAGAAGATCCCAGCCACATTTCTGGGAACTGTTTTTAGCACTCATTTGATGGGAGGTGTGTGTGAAAGCTTTGTGCTGTGTTTTACTATCAGGAGCACAATATGAGGCTGGGTGAACCACATATATAAAGCATTTCTTTTGCTCTGCTGACTTACTGTGCATTAATGTTATGCAGGAAATCCAAACCCCAGACTGGAAGGGATGTCAGTACAGTCTCCTAAAGACTGTTTCTGAACTGGAGATTTCTGTGAGTCCATGTCAGTACATCAAAAACCTTCACCCTATTTTCCAACAGTCTCAGCTGCCAAAGAATAAACTATTAACCAGGGAAAAACAGTCCAACAGATGAGAAACACAACACTTTTTGATAACATAAATTGTAATAAGCCCTTATATAAGCCAGTAGAGAATTACTTGCAAAGTCAGTTAAAGATTTTGGCTCCATTTGCAGTATCTGAACCTAACTTCAGCTTACTCATGCTATATTGTGCCAAGCTAAATTGATGCATACCAAATTTTCCCCTTTATCTAGATGAAAACATGCACAGTTACAGCAAGCAAGACTTGAAGAGGAAGAACGTGAAAAGCCATCCTGCATTTAGAAGGGGCATAGCACTACGTTTAAAGGGATAAACCAGAATTTCAAGAGGATTTGGGACCATTTCCTCTGTGTTGTGGCTATTCCAAAAATGCCTCCTGTGGGATTGTCCACAGCCTGAAGCACTGCTAGCAGCAAGGCTCTCAGCCAGGCAGGCTGATGGATGGAGTATGGAGCAAGAGGAGGTGTGGGTCCCTCCTGCTTTAGCACCATCCCATGAGATGTCACAGCTGCTTCAACTGTACTGGACAAAATTTTACATCATCCTTTAGGGACCAGCTATGCAACAGCATCAGTTGACATGCACGGGAGCATGTCAGAACATGGAGAGGCATGCAGAAATGTGAGTGAAGAACAACATGTGACAACACAACATGGGACAAAATAAGACATCACCAGACACCTCTGAATAGCATGCCACATGCCATCACAGATCATAGGATCATTACGACCTCTGGGATCATCTAGGACATCCCCAGCCCTCTCCACCATGCCCACTGATCATATCCCTCACTGCCACATCTACGTATTTCTTGAACACCTCCAGGGATGGTGACTCACCCACCTCCCTGGGATATCAGGTATTGGCAGCTTGTGCCAATACCTGATCACTCTCAGAAGAATTTTTTCCTAAGATCCAACCTGATAGCATGCAACAGCATTAACAGCATGGATCAACATGTCACAGCATGATAAATGTACCTAGAAAGCTGGTAGAAATAACGAGATAGCAGTGAGAAATTCCTAGCAGCAGGAAAATTCCTGGGAACATATAGAAAGTGTCAAGAGAACCATAGGAAACTCCTAGAAAGATTTTGGGAGTTCCTAGAAAATTATAGGAAACTCTTAAAAAACAAATTTCATTTCTAGAAAGCAATGGGGAGAATCCTAGGAAGCAAAAAATGAATTCCTAGAAAGCTGGCTACAAGTTTTTGGAAAACTAGAGGACAATTTCTAAAAGGGAAGGGAGAATTCCTTAAAAGCAGTAGAGGAGTCCTAAAAAGAAATGCACAATTCCTAGAAAGCCATGAGAAATTCCTAAAGAGCAGAAGAAAACTCCTGGAAAACAGGTCAGAATTACTATAAGTAGAGTACAGTTACTAAAAATCATTGGGATACTTCTAGAAAAGTGTTAGGGAATGAGAAAAGCTGTGCTGGTGCAGCCAAAGCCTGATGTGTTCCAAGCCCAGAGCTGCTGAGCCTCGCAGGGCAGGAGCATGAGCAGCTCACTGGCTTTCAGGCCCCTGACCCTGAGATGGATTTTGACAAATGGGTGATAGGAAGCAGGGAACATTTCCAGTCAGGGGAAGCACTGCTTGTTAGACACTGCTCTGAGAGCTGCTGTCGCAGCAACTTCTTTCTCTGCAACACAGGGCAGGGAAAAGCCAAGGACACAGAGGCAGGCTGCAAAGAGCCAGATATTACTGAATTACTGAGATGAACCAGTTCTACCTGGTGTGGTCAGACTGGCACAAAGGCTGAAACAGAAAAAGTATGCAGACAAGGTAGGGTGAACATGAATTTGGGATTGTATCATGGTTTGGGGTAGTCCAGTTCGAGCCCTGGGTGTTTCAAAAGCTCAAAAACTGTGGCAGGAGGAATAAAGAGAGTAAAGCCAGAACCTTGGTTTGGATTCTTATTTTTCTACTGGCACCAGGGGAGGTTCAGTCTGGACATTAGGACAAATTTCTTCAATGTGAGGACAATCAAACACAGATCAAACATTGCCCCAGTGCTATCAGTGCTAAGAGATATTTGGATAATGCTCTTCCAATAAGCTTTAATTTTTGGTTAGCACTGGAAAGCTCAGGCAGTTGGACTGGATGTTCTTCCAAGGTCCCTTCCAACCAACCTATTCCATTCCATTCCATTCCATTCCA